ATTGTCTATGCTGTCACATTCTATGAATTGTATCGTCTGCAAACAACTGAATTTTGCAATTTTTTACAGCTTATCATTTATATACAGCAGGAATATATCAGGACCCAGCACTGTTCCCTGAGGCACACCATGTCTATTTTCTCTTACAGAAGATAAGGAGTTTTTGTACTTTGTTCGCTGAGTTCTTTGTTCCAAGTAACCTGAGAACCATCTTAAAACGTTGCCTTCAAATCCATATTTTGCTAGATTTTTTATCATCAAATTTCTATTTATTGTTTCGAATGATCCCCTAAAGTCGATAAACACAACACCCACGTAATGACCCACACTCAAAACATTTTTCCATCCTGAAATAACAGACTGAAGCGCACTCTCACATGAATGGTCCTTCCTAAAACCAGCTTGGTATTTTGTAAGTAATTTATTTTCTTCTACGTATTGATGTAATTGTTGATTGGCAACAGTTTCTAGAAGTTTTTCATATACAGGTAACATATTAATGCTCTTCACATTTTATTTATATTATATTACACTCACTTTTTCTATAAGGATGACTGTTGACATTTTCCTGTTTCCATACAGGAATTTATAAGCCTTTTTTATTTTTTAAATTGTAAACTGTATTTCTTAGTCATTTCATTTCAACTGTTTTAAATGTACTAAAGCTATTTATAGGAGTTGGTATATAATTCAAAGTATTTTTCATAAGTATGTCATCTATATCACTTGCCAAATTAGTCACGCTGTTCAGAAAAAAGTCACTAAAAAACTCTACTATTGTCTCACTTTCTTTGTAAATAGTTCCATCGAAATCAATACCTTCCATATTTCTACTTCCCAATTGCCTATGATATCCTTCAAACTTTTCCACATAGCCTTTGAATTTCCTTTGGCATCATTTATTTTTTTGTTGGTAATATACTTGCTTTTGTTGTTTTATTAATTGAACAACTTTATTTCTTTGTTGTCGAAAGCTCACCCAATGTTCTTCCTGCTGTGTTATCATAGCCTATAGTCTATCCCTATCTAAGATATTGTCATGTAAATCTGGTGACCACCATCTTTAGTTGCCCCATTTGACAGGCATCTTTCTTTTAACTATTGGTGCACAATAATCTAACTTTTCTGTTATTATTTTTACTAAATTGTTTGCTATTTCATCAGTACTGATAAGGTTGAATGACCATGGAGATTCGATTAGCATTAATTGAAATACAAGATCGTTAAAGTGTTTCATATCTCTGTAATATTCTGCTTGACTGTAGAAATATTAACCTTTAATATTGCATGGTCCGTTATTTTAGGAGTATAGCATATCTCACTTTCCATGCACTTTTTATTTGTAATTATGAGATCAATCATGGTTGCACTATTTTGTGTAACCCTTGTAAAGTTTTGAATTTTTTGATAGAATCCACTTCTCTCAATGACTTTCTCAAGTTTAGAGCAGTTTAAAGACTTTTTTGCCAAGTTGATGTTAAAATCGCCAATCATTATGAGGGTATCCGTTTTTTCTGAATAATCATCAAAAGTTTCCTGCAACTTCTGCAGAAATTCATTATCCTTTGATTTTGGAGAATGGTATACACATAAAATGTTGTATTTTTTATCTATAGATCAATTTACTCCAATCATCCATAGGTATCTCTCGATTACACAGTTATGTATTGTTTTAAAATGTAATTCTTCTTTAATATACATACGAGGGTGGTCCCAGAAGTACCCGGCCTGACCTAGAGATGGCGATAGTTGTTTGAGAAATATCAATGTATTAGAAAGTATGCCACCTATAAAGCATTTGTGTCAAGTTTGAAGATGCCACGTTGTTTAGTATTTGTTTGATAGCCATCAATACTGAACGTTTTCAGTGAATTTGTGATAATGGAAAAAATTGGTCATCGTTATGTGGTACAATGCTTTTATTTCCAAGGCCTCAGCCCAACCAATATAAAATCTGAACTGGATTCTACTCTGGGTGAGTCCGCTCCTCCGTTTACAACAGTAAAATATTGGGTAGCAGAGTTTAAACGAGGCCGTATGAGCTGCCAAGACGAGCATCGCAGTGGTCGACCAAATGAGGTGACGACTCCAGAAATGGTAAAGAAAATTCACAAAGCGGTACTGAACAATCTTCGACTGAAAGTGCGCGAGCTAGCAGACATAGTAGGCATTTCAAAAAGTGCGGTTCATCGCATATTATCTGAAAATTTGGACATGGGAAAGCTGTGTGCAAGATGGGTGCCGCGATTGCTCACAATCGAGCAAAAATAGTGTCGTGAACATGTTTCAATTGAGTGTTTAGCGAAGTTTCACAGCCACAAAGCAGAATTTTGGCGTCATTCCATAACCATGGATAAAACATGGGTCCATCACCTAAAGCCCGAGACAAAAAGCAATCAAAATAATGGACTCAAAAGGGACAACCGGCTCCAAAGGAGGCGAAGACCGTTTTATCTGCAGGCAAGGTTATAGCGTCGGTTTTTTGGGATGCGCGCGAGACAATTTTCATTGACTATCTTGAAAAAGGTAAAACTATCAACGGCGAGTATTATGCGAACTTATTGCAACGTTTGACCGATGAAATCAAGCAAAAACGGCCGCATTTGGTTAAGAAGAAAGTGTTTTTTCATCAAGATAATGCACCTGCTCACAAATCCATTATTGCAATAGCCAAAATTAACGAATTAAAGTTTGAACTGCTACCTCATGCACCCTATTCACCAAATTTAGCCCCCTCGGATTATTTTCTGTTTCCAAACTTGAAAAAATGGCTCAGTGGTCAAAGATTTTCCAACGATGAAGAAGTGATGTCGGCAGTTAATGGCTATTTTGAGGAGCAAGGCAGTTCTTATTATAAAAAGGGTGTCGAACTTATTGAACGTCGCTGGGAAAAGTGTATAGAGCAGATTATGTTGAAAAATAAATACATTTTTTTTACAAAATTTTTGTGTATTCTTCATTGGGTCGGGTACTTCTAATTCTAATTCTAATCTCCAATATTTAAAACATTGAATTATGTCAACGCGATCAAAGTATTTACATATTTTATTAATATTTACATGACATTTTTATCGTCAATGATCTTCACCTAACTGCGCTCTTCTACATGTCGTGTCGCCGTGTTTCAACCTGCCTTTGTACCTATCAGCCTGCCGTTTCTCATTTTGGCTTGGTCAAGATTTGTACAACGAGCGTTGACCTATATTATACAGGGGGTCCGCAAAGTTGGGGTTGTCTTTTTCAGAAACAACTGCCCTTGAAATAACAAAGGTAATGTGTAGTGAAACGAGGGCGACCAAGTAAAAAAAAAACAAAGGAAAAAGTACTCACTCTCCAGTTGACGAGAAGGGCTAAGTACGTCTCTGTCCAAAATCATACCGCTCCAACAGAAAATGAAATCAGCTGATGCGCTACCGAGCAGACGCAGGCGGTCGTGCAGACCACGGACAGAGGTAACAAATATGACGGCGTTGCCGCGTTTTCAGTTTTTAACTAAACGTACTTTATAGGTATTGTTCGAAGTTATCGCCGTTTGATTCAAAAACACAGGTGCGTGCACGACGTAGCCAAGCATCGGTGCAGGCTTTGAGAATGGAGTCCCTCCCCCGAATGAAAGCACCAGCTTGTTCAATTCTGATACGAAGTTCGTCAACCGTATGCACTTCAGTTTTGTACACTAAGCGTTTGATTTCTCCCCAAAGAAAAAAATCACATGGTGTTAAGTCTGGAGATCGCGGAGGCCACGCTACGGGTCCATTACGTCCGATCCACCTATTCGGAAATAATTCATTCAAAAACTCACGCACTTCGCATCTAAAATGGGGCGGTGCACCATCGAGCAGATTGTCTTACACTTAATGGCACATCTTGTAACAAGGAAGGCAAAATGTTGCGTAAAAAGTCTAGGTATTGCATCCCGTCCAATCGATTTGAGAGAATAAATGGTCCAATGAGTATACCGTTCACCATGCCAGCCCAAACATTCACCGAAAATGTTTGTTGAAAATGTGCCCAACGGACAGCGTGCGGATTTTCTACTGACCAAACATGTGTTGCGAAAGTTATTCACCCCATTACGCGTGAACGTAGATTCGTCTGTCACCAATATGCACTTCAAAAAGACCGGATTATTGTCATGTTGATGCAACAACCACTCACAAAACCACAGTCTTGCTGGAAAATCGTCAGGTTGAAGGGCTTGTACACGTTGGACGTGAAACGGATACAACCCCTCTTCACGCAGTGTTTGCCACACTTTAGTTTTTGATACTTGCACTTCTCTAGCCACGTCTCTAGTGCTTGTTGAAGGATTCTCGTCTACGCGATTCAGTAGTTCTTCCTCAACATGCACCATTCGTGGTTGTCTAGGCCTCCCACTGTGCCCTCCTCGAATTTCCTCCAAATGGCCCGTATCCCTGACTCTCTGGACCAGGTACACAAATCTGCGGGGCCTTGGATGATGTCGTCTAGGGAAACGATCTGCATACACAGGTGAAGCCTCTGTAGCATTTTGAAGACATTCGCAATAAATTAACAACATATCAACGAGTTCATTATTGGTGTATGAGTGTGCCATTATTATTTTTTTTGAAACGCAATCGATTATACGGGTTCGTTTACCTCTACACGCGTGACCGTAACCATCGGTTGAAGGTTGCATACTGACCTGACACACTGACCCCGACCCAGTTCTGTCGTTGGGTTGAGCCAGTGACCTTGTACTACTCGGTGATGTCGGGGGTCGCAGCTACAGGACGGTATTCAGATATTTTTGATGTTGCATAGCCCTTTATCTCGGTTCCCTTAAGACATTGGTGTATATGGTACTAAGAAAAATTGCTTATGTTTTCAAGATCTACACGTCATGGAAAGGAAAACCCCAACTTTGCGGACACCCTGTATATTATTCATTCCTTTTGCAAATAGACCAGAAGAACAATTCATTTTAAAAATTGGACCCACATTCTAGTATAACTATACTATATCCTTTTTTCTTCTTTACAGACATGCAGCCAGCTGTTAGAGACCGACTTCATCCCGCAGGTGGCAGCAACATGCAAGGGAGGCCACATGCACATCCGAGTCAACTTCAATGGTAGCTTCACTGGAGCAGTCCATGCCAGGGACTACAGAACGCCGGCCTGCATGCGGAACGGAGATGGTTCCAGGCAGGTGCAGCTTGAAATCAATTTGCTCGCGCAGCCTGGTGCTCCTGACTACTGCGGGTTGCTTGTGAACAATGTGAGTAGCTAATGTAAGAAAGTCGCTGGTAGAACGACATCCATGTTGTGCCACGCCTTTTTTTGGTTAATTAATAGAACACAATGATAAATGCTATCTAACGGTTGGTCCAAGCAAAACAGTTGTCCAGTGGCGTGCAAATTTAGGCACTAGCTCAATAATGCGGGGAGTAGGGGCGGGTTAAGAATGCCAGTGACTTAGGACGGATTAAACCACAACTCCCCGAGATGTTATTCGGAAGTTGTTTTGCTTGACCACCCCCACAAAAGGAGAATCTAACAGAGATGACGAAATTTAAGTAACAGTACAGAGAGAGAGAGAGAGAGTCAAATAAACAAGATATCAAATGGATCACAATATATTGATTAAAAAGAACAAAACGCACATGTGCTCCACTACTGGAGTGCGAGAAAGCATATTACAAAAAAAACTGTCGCAAAATAAAATTAGTTGGCGTTTACCATGGTATACGCTTTACATATACAGGGTGACGCATCGAAAACGAAACAGACGCATTTACTGGCAACTCAGTTTTTTTTTTGGACAAACGCTCAGACCCGTCGATTTTGTTTACGAGGGGGACACAAGTTTGGCAAAAACGCTAACACGTGCAGCCCCCTGGGCGGGGGTGACACCAACCCTAAAATCTTAAACGGAAAGGGGGGTCGAGTGATACCTTATTTTAATGGTCTTTCAATTCCCTTTATAATGATATAAAATTGATGTAGTAGTTTTGAAGATTTATTGATTTAAAGTTTAAATAAAACTAATACATCATCATTAGTGGAGATCAATACATTTGGCAGCAAAGTAATTTAAAAATGAAGAATGAACTGATGCGTTAGGCAAGTAAATGTTGAAAATGGCCACCATGACTCTGCATGCAATAATAAATATTTTGTTCAAAACGTTGCCGCACACTTTGCAATATTTGAGGAGTAATTTGAAGGCACTCATTCACAATTCTCTGTCGCAGGTCTTCTAATGATGTTGGCTGAGTAGCATAGATTTTGCTTTTTAAATGACCCCACATAAAGAAATCCAAAGGTGATATATCTGGCGATCTTGGAGGCCATTCAATGGCACATCTTCTACCAATCCATCGATCCGGAAACGTCTGATCTAAATATTGTCGAACACGTAATGCGTAATGTGGTGGGACACCATCCTGTTGGAACATCAACCTACCCGCAATGTACCGCCGATCATTCTGATTTTCAATTATGGCTGTTATTGCAGGATCTATGGCATCTTCCAGTAATACCAAATAAATTTAACCGGTCAAATTTCCAGGTAAAAAAAGGTCCTACTAAATGATCGCCAAAAATTCCAGCCCAAACATGTAATTTTTGTGGCTGCTGTGTATGAACCTCATGTTAAATTCTGGGATTAGAATCGGACCAATATCGGCAGTTATGACGATTTACTACGCCGTTTAAGAGAAAGGAACATTCGTCAGAAAAGCAAGTGTTGAATAGAAAATGTTCATCGTTTATAATTCGTTCACTCATATCTTCACAAAATTGTAATCGAAGATCAAAATCGTCTTCATTAAGTTCTTGTACCAGGTGAATTTTATACGGATGAAAACTATGGGCCTTTAGAATCCGTTGGACAGTACGTCGACTAACACCACACACAGTCTCCAATTTGTGGGTACCTAACGTAGGATCTACATAAACTTGCCCTAAAACCCCCACTTCTATTGCTTCGTTCCTTATGGGATTTTCAATGTTGCGTTTTTTATTGTTCTAGAACATATTTTGATGCACGTTACTGTTCTCATCTCGCTCATTAAATATTTCTGCTGTTCTATTAGCGCACTGATTATTTCCGAAAAATATTTCGATAATTTCAACTCTTTCTGCTGTGGAATATACCATGGTTAATTTATGTAATAAAGCGTTACAAGTTATTTTAGCAACAAAGTTTGGTCAAATCAATCGCAAACTATGTACTAAATTCCAATTTAAAATAAGCACGAGATATTTTCTTATCTTTCTTCAAGAAATAACTATTTTGCCACAAAAAAATGCTCCAATAGCTACTTTCAACAACAAAATGATAAACAAACCATGGGCGTAGTGAAGAAAAGCATTTACTTATTAAGTAAATTCTTTTAGTCAAATTTCTTCTGAAAGTAGTACAAACTAATCTGGTGTACCTGTTAAAGTCTACTTTAAGCTTTAAATCAATAAATCTTCAAAACTACTGAACTGAAGCTCATGTATTTTACATCATTATAAGGGGAATTGAAATACCTTTAAAATAAGGTATCACTCGACCCCCCTTTCCATTTAAGATTTTAGGGTTGGTGTCACCCCCGCCCAGGGGGCTGCACGTGTTAACGTGATTTTTTTCCAAACTTGTGTCCCCCTCGAAAACAAAATCGACGGGTCTGAACGTTTTTCCAAAAAAAAAACTGAGCTGCCAGTAAATGCGCCTGTTTCGTTTTCGATGCGCCACCATGAATGTTTTACGCCTAAACTACACTTATCTGGGCGGAGGTCTTCTCCCAGTTACGGCTAGGCGCAGCCGAGATGTATCCCAGTTCAAAAAGTACAAAAAAAAGGAAGCCGGTAGAGGACACGTCATTGGGCAGGGGCTGCTTGCCTCGAAAATTTTCTAAAATGAGATATTATGTTATGTTGGTCTGTTTGTCGGTCTGTTCTCTAATCTTATAACCGCCTATAACTTGAGAAGTACTGCTCGGATTTATGTAATTTTTACAGAATGTTACTACTGTGCCAGGGACGCAACAACTTGGTAGTTTTTGGAAGTCGGTCCAGTGGTGGCGGACAAAAAGGCCAAAAAAACCGCTCAAGCTCGGTTTTTCTACGTTTGAGGCGATCCTGATCGTTTTTGAAAAAAATTATTAGGTGAAAAAACTTGAGGGTGGGGGTTGAAAGGCGGTGGGGGGGATTTATCTACATTTTTGATGCTGGACATTAATACACTCCCAACATCGGTAATTATACGCACCTATTAGACAGATTCAACACATCACAGATTTCTCTGTACATTAGCCCTGAAAACTATTCTCGGGAGACGAATCGCTTACTTATCGTTTATTCTTTTGTCAACCTACTTAATTGCCATTTTTAGCACCTACTACTAACTATCTAAATGAACGTCATGGACACTTATTTTAGCAATTGTCTCGATGTTTTTTATTCTTTCGGTGTTTCGATTTGGAAATATACTGAAAATAACCTCCACTATCTGATGATAGTCGTGCGTTTCCAGCTTCCAAATACTTCCCATTATGCAATCAATCTACCTGACGCCATGTTGAAGACTTTCCAATTTCAAGCATTATTACTTATTTCTTGCGAATAAGTACTTCACAATCAGAGTATCTAAAATATTTTAAAGTATAGACAAGTCGACAAACCATTTGCAGCTCTAACATTTGTTTAACTATTTGATTAACAATAAGCCCCTTTGGAGACAACTTACTGGGTAATCTAAATGTGAGCGTCATGTTCACGTCTTTTACTGGAAGCTTAGCTTCTAACTTTAGAGACGTTAGTTTTACCATGTCAGTCAAACGAATGTTCAAATACCTTCGCGTATGCTGACCAGCCAGCTTAGCAACTGTGCACCAATAGCGCATATTGTAACTTGTTTCAAAGTAAGATATCACGTAACGTCTTACTTATTCTCTGTATGTGCGTTTTATTATTTCATCCCGTGATCGTAGTCTCGCTTTTCCATTCCCTTTTAAATATATTTCCTACAATATCAGACCCGTTTCACAAACTTTGTCGTGCTTGGAGAGAAATCCATATATTTTATCTCTTTTATATCCTTTTTATAGAACTTCTTCGATATATTCATATCTTCTGCAAACACTTACTGGCCACCGCTGTCGAATGGTAGGCGCTGGGCAGTGATGTGAATTCTTTATAGTGTTTACCTTACTTATTGTAGTAAATGTTCGGTTCGTATGTCAGTTATTTCTACAATCAGTTTACTCGACATGTACGTGGTGGTAGATCTGAAAATGGTTTTACTTGAAACAAATTAGATCTAAGGCTGATCGCACGACGGTACTTGTTTCACAGTGTGCAAAGCAGAACTTTAACAGTCCAATTGACAAAATTTGTTGTATTCAGGAGAGATAAAAGCCCTACGCCCATCATACAAGAATAATTTTGCATTCAAAGGGGTGATTATTTCAACTAAACATACGGCTTTCGACCGTTTAACCACAAACAGTTAATCGTGGTGCTTATTGGCAACTCGTCAGCACAAACTAGGCTTGTTCTATCCTCAATCCGAGGTGCAAGGTCTATCGAAATAAGACAGCACAAAGTGCCAAAACCACATAAACTTTTTTTTTATTATTTTGATCATCAACCAGTAATTTGAATTTCCCTTTATTAATGGTAGAGTGCCCATTCCTAGGCCAAACCCTTTTTAATGATTTATATAGTTTATTGATTGTATAATTTCATACGTCTTTCTCAGCGATTCAATATTATGATGAAATGGTTTGGACGCTAATGTTATAGTATTTCATTGGCGACTATCTAAAAAATTTCCTCATCAAATATCGTTGCTCCCTCGTAGAGTTGGTTCCGCCCATTGGCAATCAGCGCCAGCCTGTTGTTTCTGTACTAATCTACAGGGTGTTTCAGTTTATTGTTGCATAACTTTAAGATTCGATAGAACTTTTAAAATTAATGCAAAAAGTCTATATAATCATGGGTCGAAAAATGCGTTGCTTTAAATATTTCGAACAATATTTGATGTTTACGACAAAACGAACCATATGCATAGTTTTACTGTAGCCGCTAGAGGGCGCTCTCTACTCTACCTGTAGTGTATTAAAATGACCGAAAAATTTTTCTTAGTGCAATTTTTTGCTTTTTGAATAAAAAAAAATGATTCTTCGCACTTTTCAACATATAAAAGTTCTCCTGTGAGTTTTCGCTATAGTTAGCCGTTTTTGAGATATTTCGATTTTTAAGGTTCGATGCATTTTTAATTATTTA